AGACCCTTACAATTAAGACCCACCAGGTCACGTACACAGGGTCAAATCATCCTCATTCCCTTCATATTCCATTGGTAAGAAGTTCAACCCAGACAGCTTTCCCCCCCAGAACAATTATTTTGTAGGACAGACTCCCAACTGGATGCTTCCTCAATCAATACAATCTTAAACTCTTCAAATCTAGGGTCAACCGTTATCTAACCTACATATCCTCATTATCTACACTTCTTAACTCCCACTTTACAGTGACCTCATTCATTCCTGCATTTACAATAAAATCATTCAATAACCCCTACCTTGAGTGGCTTCTGAGCCTTGTATTAAGTGAACAATAGTATTAAAAAAATCTAAATTTTTTTTTTTTTTTTGATTTTTCTCATTTTTGTTGCTGAGGGTCAGGGACCATGGACAGTTGCAGCAATGTTCCCTGCTGTTTCCTCTCCCTTGCCACAACTATGCACTCTGCCAGCGTTCTCCCTGTTCAATCTCTGAGGTCATCATCTTGAACTCCTATCACTGATGCATACCTCCAAGATATGGGTGCAGAGGTTCTGGGATCTAATGAGATATCTATGCCTGTCTACCCACCAATATCAGTGGATGGCATTTGAACCCAAAAAAAAACAGAATTTCAAATGTTGATTTTCAAAGCAACCCAACGCTGATTCAAAACCCCAAATAATACTGATATTAAAAAAAAAAAACCCACCAAACTCTAGCTCAGAGTTGTCCAACCTTTTTTCCTAATGGGCCAAATTAGAAATTTAGGTATATTCACCAGGCCACAAAAGTACTTTATATACAAAAGTACTCTCCTTGCTCTTGCCAAGCTTCGCAACACTGCCCTCTTGGTAATTCTGACCACTCTGTGGTAGCTATTGATATTTCATTCCAATTCTCTATTACACAGGAAGCCCTTATTCATATAACCTCTTTCCATTACCAGCATGCTGATTGGGACTCACTCTGTGATTTTCTCCATGACACCCCTTGGACAGATATCTTTAAACTCCCAATTGAAAATTGTGCCACTGAGGTTTCTTCTTGGGTCAAAGCTGGCATGGACACTTTCATCTCTTCTTGGAAATACCAGATAAAGCCTCAATCCTCTCCATGGTTCACACCAGCATGATCAGCTGCTATAGCACACAGGAACCACTATTTTCAGCTATACCAGCGTGATGGCTCTTGTCACAACAGGCACCTATTCATTGCTGCTTGCAATAAATGTAAGCGAGTCTTCGAAGGAGCAAAGTGCGTTTGCCGAGAGAATGAGGCACTGCACAGCCTCTAACAACTTCAGTTCTCATGATTACTGGAAATTCCATAATAAGGCATTCAATAAATGTTAGGTCTCTATTCCTCTCCTCTTCAATCAATATGAGGTGTTATCATCCTATGCTGATAAAGCTGAATGTTTTGACCATAAATTCTCCTTAAACTCTACACTTGACTCATCTGGAATATTCCTGCCTAACTTCCCTCTTAGAACTGAGTCTCTGTTGAGTGATATGCATATAACATCTTCCATGGTGTCTGCTCTCATCTCTAACCTAGATCCCCACAAAGCATGTGGACCTGATGGTATCCCTGTAATAGTTATTAAGAAATGTGCTCCCAAACTGACTCCTGTTCTATCTAAATTGTATAATAAATGCCTTGCTGCCTCCTGCCTGCTGGAAGTTATCATCTGTTGTTCCAGTTTTTAAGAACTCAGTTGGAAGGGTCAGACAGCTTACCAATCTGCCTATTAGCTTTCTACCACTTTTTGGGAAACTCCTGGAGGCCCTAATCAATGCTGAATTAGTTCATCTCTCATCGGAAGGCCTTTTCTCAGACAAGCAATATAGCTTTCTTTTCTCCAGGTCAACTGCTGATGTACTGACGATATTTGCGGAAAGAATTTATTATGTTCTAGATAAAAACGGTGCATTAGACATCTCGAAATCCTTTGACAGGGTCTGGCATTTAGGTCTTCTCCACAAGCTGAAAAGTTACAGTGTCCCTGGACACTTTTTTGAAATGATCCAGTTTTTCCTATCAAATCATGAAATGAGAGTTATCCTGAATGGTCACTCCTCTAAATCCTTTTTTTTACTAATACAAGTGTCCCCCAGGGCCCCATCCTTGGTCCTACTCTATTTTTAATTTTCATTAATGACTTTCCTGATGACACCAGCTCTCAACTCAGTATCTACGCTGACAACACAACAATTTACTCCTGCCTTGATAGTACGGCCAAAATGGTAGCTGATATCCAAAACGACCTCAAGACCATAGTTAACTGGGGCAAAAGATGGCTTGTTAATTTTAACACCTCCAAAATTAAACTTCTCTTTATTAATGATCTGAGAGACTCCTTGTTACCTTCCATCAGCATGGTTAATGTATCCTCCAAGAAAGTAACTTGTTGCACCTTCTCAGACTCAATTTCTCTGCTGACATGAAGTAGAAAAACTATATTGAATCCATTGCTAGGTCAGGTGCTAAGAAAGTCTGTTTACTATGTTGATGGAAACAATCTTTCTCTCAAGACTCTATCTTACATATTTATAAATCTACCATTCGTCAGTGTTTAGAATATTGCTGCCACATATACTTTCATGGCATTAGTTCGAATGAGCTCTTCACTATGGTACCTAGAGTTTTTGAATTTAAGTACAGCACTAGACTGATGTTGAGATCTCATTAATTTACAGTTGAGCTGGCTAGATGTAGCTGCAAATTCCATGCTAACAGTTGCTTCTCTTGCACTTCTCGCTTGTGGAACTCCCTTCTGGCTCTATGCTTTCCAGCCAACTTTAATCTGTAAAAATTTAAATGCAATATCAATCGCTATCTACTGTCCACCTGATTACTCTCTTCTCTTTCTGTTCATCATTATTATTTCTGTTCCTAATTCTTACACACCTTGTAACTCCTTGTGTTTTAGTAGCATTACTGTTTTGCATGGGGTATTTTCGATTAAAAAAATGCTCTTAAAAAATTCAAAATGTTGTGAATATAAAATTTTGATAACAAACTAACATTAAAAAAAGAAAGAAATTACACAAAATAAAATAAATCTGATGTGATTTTAGACATTGCTTTCCTTTTATAATATTGCTAATATCTGTTTTTATAGTACTAGTATTTATTTTAAGAATGTTAGTTAAATAGGAATTACTCAACCTATTTCTTTCAGCAGTTTTGATGTTTTTTAACAATTGTTTATAGCAGTATGTACTACCCGATATATATAACAGTTTTTAGACAAACTAAATGATTTTTATTTGCCCCCACACACTAGTCGGTGTGTCTCAGCAAAGGCCTTTGCCCCCGTCTTAGTGCAATGGGGAAGTGAACCTATCAGCACAATCTGAGAATAATAAAAATAACTAGAGTAAATGAAAATATACCTAAAAATTTTAGGGTGCAGTGGGCTGCATGAAAATAACAAGTGCGGCTCGTGGGTTGGACATTTATGCTCTAGCTAGAGGGTCTCTCTTTCTTCTTTACTTTTTAGTTAATAATGTTTTGTCTAAGCTTGAATATTTAGGACAAGACCTAATGGAAGGAAAAGTGATAGTTGGAAAATTACGTTGTGCGACTTGTATAAAAGTTGATATGCAGTTTGCTACTTGCTTTGAAAATCAGCAGTTTGAATTTTTTTCTCCTATCTGGATTTGAGAAAACAGTAAGATTATAAAATTTCTTTTTCATCAAATAAGGTCGTTCTTGTCATTCTATGCTCTTTTTATTGATTTTCATTTTTCATGGAGGTACCTTAAACTTAACACCTAACTTCTGAAACAACCAATGTGTCCGTTTACTTTTTTAAACAGATTATGTTGCGCCAATCTTCCAAGTTGAGACTGGGACGCCCTGGCCGCCTTAAAAAATTTTGTGATTGTTTTTTTTAAACCCAGATTTTAACAAGTTAGACCCTCTTACAACCTGAAATGAGGAAGATAATGCTACCAATTTGAATTAACAAAAAAGCGTATTTGTCTAAAACAAAAAAACACAAAAATAAATAAACAAACTAAACAGTTATTCTTTGCATTTTTTTTAATATATTTTCTCGGTAACTGGATTCATATGTGCCAGGACCCCTAAGTCATGGCAGAGCGGAAAACCAGGAACCTTATGTGGCACCAGTTTGCTAATTGTAGTTAGTTATGTAATAAAAATAAAACTAAGAAGTATTAGTCGGCGTTACAATCGCTAATTCCGTCATTGTTTATTTACTTTCAGTTTCGTGGCTTCTGCATATCCACCAAAACAAACAAAAAAAAAAAAAAAAAAATTTAACCGAACGTCTGTAATTAAATGAAAAAAAAAAGTGCATTTTCTTTTTCTCGCTGCAAAAAGAACCTAAATGCCGAATATTTTGCAATTTTTTTTTTTTTTTTTGAAAAGGGTCTCAAATGATACCCTCTCTAACCCGACACTTAGTCTTTGTTTATTTTTTGTTTCAATTTTCTTATTTCGAACTTTTGATAGCATTCGCTCTTTGTGTAGAACTACAAAAGTCTAACAATTTATTTAATTGATCAGGGACGGAGCTAAAAAGAAACCCAAGAAGACTGACCTTTAGCAAGAAAGGTTGTTAAAAAAAAAAAAAAAAAAAAAAAAGCCGTTTTATTTCGATTCTTCAAGAAGAGTTTCAAAATTTTCCCTAAAATAACGCCACGAATTTAGTTTCTCAAGATAAGGAAAATATAATTTAGTCGTTTTCATTCTCTTTTTAGCTTCAGTGTTGTAAAATTATAGACGTTAGCTTATTTGTTAAAGAGTAAAAAAAGTAAAGACTAACGAAAAAAAAATGGTTAAATTTTTTCACCTGCAGGCCAGGTGCATTTTTAACGGCATAAATCTAAGGAAGGTTACAAATGACAATCTCAAAAACTCACTATCCGAGATTGCTATATAACAATAATTAGAAAAAATCAGCGAAACACAATATAAATATCTAAAACTGAACAAAACGTGGATTCGAACGCTGACCACCGACAAAAATGCACATCAATCAAAAGGCAGGCGACCATTTTGAATACCCGGATGTGGAAAACGAAAACGAGGCTGGGTCAAAGCGGTTAATACAAACTGCAAAACAGAGGCGTTAAGAAGACCGTTAAATTAGATTTTCTTTTATTCAACTGAATTTTCCTCCACGATATTTTTTTTCATTCTATTTTAACATTGCAATGGGAAAATTCTATGGAAGACAGTTTTAATTCCATGGCAGGCGCTTAAATTTTAAAGAAAGAGGAAAGATCTACCCGAATATTTTTTTATTTGAATTTGTATCCGTAATTTTGAAAAGGTAAGTTAAAAAAAAAAGAAAAAAAAAAAGTTTATTAAAATAACATTTTTATTTGTTAAATATTCATTAAAAACGATTCCAATTTATTTTATTATTTTACATGATTAAAATAATATTTATTTTTAACTTTTGTTTTGTTGGTCGATCTTTTGAAATTTGCAACGGTTAAGTTGGGAAAAATTCAGTAAACTTAAATAAAAAATGCATTCATTTAAAAATAAATGAAATTGATTTTAATTTTTAAATAATTTCAGAGTTAAAGCAAATGTTAGCAATAATTTCGATGTTAAAAATGATAGCCCTGACCCCCCCCCTCCAAAAAAATATTAAAGACCCGACGAAAGAAACCACAACAAATATTTGACAAGAAGAGATTTAGAATTTAAATGTAAAAAAAGAAGATGAAAAACTAGAGTTTAAAAAAGAAAATATGTCTAGTTTCGTTCATAACAAAAAATACAATTGATATGTTTTGTTTGTTTTTTATAATAAATACATTATTGAAATTATGTCAGTCTTCCAATGAGAATTAATTTTTTCTGTTTCCTCATTGGAATGATTTGCCTAATTAAAATTTAGTCTAAATCTTACTACCCTTAATTAAAGTTGCAGTATGTTCTAAACTTGGTAATAATAAGCTTTCGGCTTTTTCGATGACACTAAAAAAAAAAAAAAAAAAAAGAAGCTGCCTGTGCATTAAGGAGAAAAAAATTAAATCCCAGCATTAAAACATTTTCATTTTTACTATTAATTAAGCCAAATAAATATATATTTAAATTTCAATATTCTTACAAAAAAATGTTTTATTTCAACACTGGTGAAAAAAATAAAAAAATGATATCCTTGCAGGTAATTGAATTTTGAGAATTTTTTTTTTTAATTAAGCTAAAAATTGTATGGAGGCATTGATTTTTCAATTGCGGTAATAGGAAAAAAATTTAACTTTTCTTTTAGTTTTGACAGAAAAAAATCTTGATAAATGCAAATATTTGTAAATAGGAATATAAACTTCTGTAAGTCTGTAATTCAACATTGCCCTGATGAAAATTTATTCAGTCAATTCGATTTGAATTCTATTTCACCTCACACTTTTTGCGAATTAAATGAAAGTAACGTTAATTAATTTATTAATAAAAAAAGATATTTTATTTTTTGATACCTCTGGGTAAACCAATTTTTATTTAAAAAGAAACTATTTTTTTCAAGGTTTTTTTTTCCTCTCTTAAATTCAAATATTTTGTTTTTTCAATTGATTGAAATTTGAAACATACTTAAATAAATTTAAAAAAAAAAAAAAAAAAAGTACTTTTTTTCCTGAAGTTTTTCTACATTTTTTTTTAGCTTCATAAAAATGCCATTTCCCAAAAATTAAAACAAAGTTTGTAATAGTTTAGAAAAGATTCAATCATCTGGCTCTAGCAATTTAAAAGAAAAGAAGTAATCAACAGAAACGAATTCGCACAGTCTTCTCAAGTACAACGGTTCATCTTTCAAATGTATTTTTAACCAGAAACCTTTTCCACCACCTACACAACCAACACTTGCTAGATTTTTTTGTTATTTTCGTATTAATCATTTTCTCCGGAGCATAACTCGTCAGAAAATGTTTTACTGGAGAAGTTTGAATTAAATTATTAACGTTAATCTTTAGTTTAAAGTTCAACAAACTAAGAAGTCCTGTAAACTGTAAAGGATAACATGCTTTTCCATGACCTAGGTGATCATGGCTCTCCACAAATCCAGTTTCTTTTTATTTATTATCGGTAAATTTGCCGTTACTCCAGTGACCATTTTAAAGAAAAAAAAGCCTGATTATTCCAAAAATAGCAATAAAAATTGAGGAAACTACCGTTTTATAGCCAAACTTAGTTGGGTCCCGGGTACACCTTGGCCGCATTAGTCAGGGATCTGTGAAAAGGTGCTCGGTATGGTGAGGGATTGACCTCACAGGAACATAAATCGAGCAACATATTGCTTCAGGTCGTAAACAGTAGAGGCCAAGCTGTACATGGAACCTTTGTGAATTGTCGTGATATTTTTGGGGAAAGACAGTGGAATGGTTTCTCGTCATCTTTCCCATGGTTTCTGAATTCAGAGTTCTTCTCTCCGACTGGCTAGAAAGAAAAAGATTGCATATTTTTTCCCCAAGAGCATAAGTGCGAAAGTGAAACGAACGAAGCAGAATTTGTGAGATTTTTTTTTTTTTTTTTTACAACTCTTTCGCGTCGTGTCGATAACCGTTGCACGCATCCAGGTGGTTAGTTTAGTTTCAAGATCGTTAAACACCCATGATTTTAAAAAATAAAAAAAAAAAGTTCATAGAAACCGGTTTTACCACTATTTGATACTTACTGGTCGGTCTTAAAGTAATACTGTAATAATCTTCATTATATTTTTTAAGTCCGGAAAGCACTCATTTGTAAGTTTAACAGAACTACAGTAGTACACCCTTACTTTACCGCTTCACTTTCGTTACTATAAGAAAGTCGGGAGGGGTGGGGTCTAAAGGGTAGAAATGTGAACTACACGGGTGAAATCGATTGGTTTTTATTTTAATTCTTGTTTCGATTGCTTAGGTAAAAATAAATGGCGTATTCCTCTGTTTTTAACTTTTCTTCTAAAAATGGTTCGATTGAAACGATCTTTCTTCTTCTTACGTTGCCCCCCCCCACAACAGATAGATGATTGCAATGGCTTCCTAGTCTTTTTCTTTTCTTTTATCAATTCATCTCAAGTAAGGCAAGGTGCAAGAGGTTACTAAATGAAAGAATGAGAAAAAAAAAACATTAAAGAGAGAACAAAAAAAAAAAACAGGAATTAAGACAGAATATAACAATTGACATTATATTTAAATTTTTGAGGATCAAAGTTGACGGAAGCTGGATGCCAGTTCCACAAGCGAGAAGTGTAAAAGATAAGACCTAGCTGCCATTCTAGTACTGCACTTAAATCTGTGAAGTTGACTTATCAAAGAGTAAAGTCTTTCTCATTGAACTGTGAAATTCCTTACTCAGAAAAGATTTCTAACACAATTTGGTGCCTCCACTGATTCTGCACCATGTTACAGAACAGCTTGAATAGACCTTTTTTTTTTTTCCATATAATATATATATATATATATATATATATATATATATATATATATATATATATATATATATATATATATATATGAGACATTTTATGTTTATATTCTTTTTATAGATACAAATATTTAAGTAAATGCTCTGTTTATAATAAACAGTATTATTAACCAACATTTACCGGCCTGAATGTCCGGGAAATTTTCATAAAAAATATTTGTTCTCCGACAGAAATCAAACCTGTGCCTTAACTGATTGGGCCACAGGGGATCGTTTGGTTAGCAAGGTCGATTTTACTGCTTTTAAACTACAATCATCCATGAATCTCTCACGTACATTCATATCTGCTCAATGCGTATCCAAATATAAACAAATAACATCACACATGAAATGGACAAAGTCCGACAATTATTTTAAGACAGTCTTAGAATAATTGCCGGACTTTGTCCATTTCACGTTTTATATATATATATATATATATATAAATAAATAAAGCTGTCTTTTCATAATAGAAATTATGCTGTTTATGGCACACTTAGTGAATCCCTATGTAAACCTTTCTTGTAGTAATATCTTCTGTGATTGTTATTCTCTCTTGTTCAACCCTGCACCCACTCTAGTTAGTCTGGGTTCTCTTATTTTATTATAGGCACTCATGTCATGTCACCCCCATATGTAATGTCTAGCAACTGTTTGTGATAGATTGAATATTTCCACTATTTTAAAATACCTAAATTCTACACAATATATGTTTTAGTGTTTGTACTCTTGTGCACTAAATAAGTGTCAGCATGATTATTTTCTTTAATTTACCCCTTCCCTGCGACATGGTGCTTGTTCAGTGTCACATGTTTATTTTTCAAATAATTTTATCTGTGGTATTATTATATTGTTCCATGTTTATTAAAATTATTTGAAACTGTGTTGTATGAAAAATCCCAGCAGAATGTTTCTTTCAGCAGACATGCTTATTTTATGAGTTATTTTATAACTATTATAAGTTACACATATTTATGATTACAGAAGATCCTCAGGCTATGTTGGACCTGATGTATGGAGTGATCTCCCATAATATAATACATAGTCATGCAGTACTGTATGAGGAAAACAGCATTGTTTCTTCACTGGCTGTACATCATATTAGGATTTGTTATCTTTCGTTTGTGTCATTTTGGGGGCAGGTAGGGACTTTTTGCCCCTTCATTATGGCTCCCAAATGTAAGGCAGATTCATGGGTGCTTAGGTAGGTGAGTTCCAGCCGATGTCGAAAATCATGTTATGTTGTGCCATGGGAATAAATCTCTGCAAGTCAAAGACCTCCTGTATTCCAATCTACACTTTAATTTGGTATAAAAAATATGTACAGTTTTAACTTGCATTACATTGTCACAGTACAAAAACAACTTTATTACCAACTTGACCCTCCTGAAGATGGGTGTGTCTACTGAGAACATAAGAGATGTAATGTTCTGCATGTTTAGTGCATAATGTTGTTCATAGGATAGGTTCTTTTAAATTAAATAAATTGACAGACATGGTTTGAAAGTACATAAATTATTTACAATCTGACTAATGTCTGCTTTGTTATGACATTTCAGCCAGTGTGCCCTCTGGTTTTCTTCAGGTTGTAAACACACAACACAATTCCTTGCCAATGGTCACCCCACATTGCATTTTGATTTTTGACCTTGTTGGTGTTCACCTGGGAATAGGCACACTGCATGCCCACAATGTAACACAATGAAAGAAATATGGCATGTCAATAAATAAGAATGTGAACCCTTTTTCCCATTTTATTCAGGGTTTCACCTGCTCATCCAAGTGAATAGTAACGTGATATTCTGGGCAATTTCTGTTATGTCAGCTCTTCTTCCTACCATTTCCTCACACCGATGTGGTAGCTAGGCAATATGAATT